TCGATTAGTCAGCGTAGTTAACAATTGTCAAAAGGTCGGAGCTCGTTACGTGCAATCGAAATCAATTCACGCTGACGGCGCAACCTTGCAATTTCGTGAGCGCCTTATTTAAACACATTGTACATACTTCCTGTTTCGTTGATTACGTAAAAAAAAAGAAAAGGAAAAGAAAAAAAATTCTGGCACAAGCCATCTATCATCATTTCCAACCTGCGGCCGACTCTGTTTTATACACACGTTTTCTTCATGTATTAAAGCGAAATATATACAGCCGTACGTATTCCCGCCAGCAGGAGTATATTTCCTTCGCGTGACCGCGTTAACGTTAGACGCAGATGGAAGAACGAATGATAGAAAGAGACGGCGAGAGAGCTTTCAAATCCACGATCATTTCCGCACGACGAAGCCGTGCGTTGCTTTCTGTCAATCCGCGTGTTTCACAGGCCGCGATGCATAATACAGACACGGAACACCAGGCGCAACAACGGAGAGACGAAACAAGGGGGAGCAATAAAAAAAAAAAAAAAAGAGAAAGGTATGATAATTACCAAGGAGTCGTCCCCATTGTCAGCGCTCATAGCCCACCGCTAGCGCGAGGGAATTCGAGATCGTCGTCGTGGTCGTCGTCTTCGGTCCTCTTCGCCGCCCTTCCGGTAGAACAACCTTGCGCTCGTCATTCTGCGGCGTATCCTAAACTCGCAGGACACTCAAAGGACTCGTCAATAGACACGAATGGCAACGCTTCGCACCTGTCATCTGGCATTGCAGCGACGAACGCGACTTTATTGGTACGACGGTCGTAACGTATATAGAAAGGGACGAGAGAAGAGAAAGGGTGAGAGGGGAGAGAGAGAGAGAGAGGACACTGACACATGAAACGTCAACGACACTACTAGCACGCCGTCGTATTAACGCAGTCAACGAAAATAAATCTTTTTTGAATTATATCGTCGACAATGCGTCCCGCACTGCACGCCACCCACCGTCCAACTTAATCTCCCGATTTTCGTGTTTCACGAGACGACTGAGAATGAAGAAATGCCCGAAATGTGAAATATTTACCGCACCAATCTAACCTCCGCACGGTCTCACGAGCAGGCGCTAACTTCCAGCGTCACTCAACTCAACAACTTGCTAATGCTTTCCCTTCCATCGCGTCGCTCCTCCCCACCTAAAGCCATGGTACGAACAGCAGGCAGAAACGATTGGCTTAAAATTGGCTTGTATCGTTGCACGGATCGTTGTTCACGTTATCGTTTTGAACACCTATCGCCCGTGCCGATCACGAATTTCGAATGTAACTTGTAACTCGAATAACACCGCGAATAAACGTCACTGCTGTCCGCACGGAATTCCCGCGACGGACGCCATGTTGGAGTGCACTGTGCGCGCGCAGCTACGCTTCCAGGAAATTTGAAGAACGTAGCGGGACATTTAAATCGCTGCTTTCTAGACATCTTATTGATGCGAGATCTTGCAAAATCTTCGACTCGAGTTGACAATGCAAGGGTCTTGTAATTGCGTGTTACCGCAACATTAGAATAGAAGAATATAATAGTAAAGTATTCTTGCCAGATAGTAAAGTATCTATGACAGGATCGAGTACGATGTAATGAAAAAAATCAGAAAAAATATGATTTTTCATGAACTACTTTTAGAACGTGATAACGATAACAAAGGATGATCTTGGAGAACGGTTGTGAATGTGAAAGGGCAAAATAACAAAGAACGAAAAGACGCACACATAATGAGACAACACATTACACGACAGACAAGAGACTTTTTCACAACATTTAATAAAACGCTATCAACTATGTATGCCTTTTTTTTTTTACTCAAATACTCTAAAAGTTACTTACATACGTGTAGTTTATATGTATATTTATGTTATGCGGAGGTGTCACATCCCTCGCAACGTCTCAACACGATAAATCTATGTTCCTTTCGTTTCTTCTATCTTCGAAAGTGTGATTTCGTTATCATTGTACACTGACAACAAACGTAACGATTTTAGGCACCAATCAGCGACGATGAACACAGTGTGAAACACGGAAATAGAAGATCGTTTAAAGTGCTTGGGAGCTGACACGTCCAATAAGTATTGTATAAATTTAATACTATCGTCGTTATCATTGTTTTCTTATGTGTAATATTTTAATTAATCGTGGGTATAGCGATCAACGTCCCGGGATGCTAAAGAGGTCTGTGTCTGAAAATCTACAAGGTGAATAACAATGGGTGTGCAAAAGAACGTCCAGGCAAGACAATACTTGCCATCAGACTTTGTTTATCGTACAGTTTTCCAAAAAAAAAGAGAGAACTTCGCGCGGGTATCATTTTTGTTTGCGTTAATGATTATTTTGTTCGCTTGTTAATACTTACCCTGAAATTGCGAATAAAGAAGAAAGTTGAACATCATTGATCATTCATTGAGAACGAAAATTCTCAATAATCGACAATTTATATATGTACATTTTCACTGAAAAATTCTCACGTTTTGTCACAAATATATTCATACAATGTGCGTGATGTTCGAAAGACTTGCAATTTCAAGGTGTCGTATAAAAGAATGAAAAAAACAAAAAAATAATATACGAGAGTTTAACATTATGTGTTCTGTAGACAGCGTGCGTTTGGTATGCCAACCAATCATGGTTTCTCTAACACTGAAAACATGTATGTAACCGCGATACGTGTGCATTCATTACAACACGAGGAAAAATCTATTCTCTATCGTCATTTACCATCGTCTGTGTTGATTGAAAAACCATTCAAACTCGATCTCTTACTAACTGGCATAAAAAAGTCCCATAAGTAATTTTCTTAACCTACGATCCTGGCAAACTGTATTTTCATATGCACGAGTATCACAATCGCTCACATTTCGTGGTCGTGTATAAATGTGTTTTTGTGTGTGTACATGCATGTGCCTTTCTTCCTCTCCGATCAGCAGTGTAAACGTCTTTCAGATTCGCTCTCGCAATAAATACTAAGTTATTTGCCATCGCCGCT